ACGACAAGTCGTCGCAAATATGGCCAATTGTCGTCGGTAAAACGTGGGTTACATTCGCGCCAAAAATCCGCGCCATCGAAATTTGCGCGGTAAAATTATTTGCGACGACAAATAATTTATTACCGACGACATGTGGATTTTTTTTAAACGGGAGTTATTTGCGACGACATGTCGTCGCAAATAGTCTACTTTTTGCGACGACAAATGTCATCGTAAAAAATGTCGTCGCAAATGGGCATATTTGTTGTAGTGGTTTTCCCCTTTAGATTATACTAGTTAAATTTGTGAATGCGCGCGTTACTCATTTAAAATAAAAATTATATAAATCGTTAAAAAAAAGAAAAAAAAAAGAAAGACAAAAGTGAAAAAAAAGATTTGAACCAGAGAAAAATTACCAAAAAAAATTAAGAAAAAAAACTAATGTGAAATGTTTCACAACTAAGCTGTAATGTATGAGGATTACTCATAAAAGATGTTAATGTACGGACACATTTAAGAATAAATTATTTTAATAGGGTAATTAGAAAAAGTAATATTTTAAATAAACATAAAAAAGTATTTAAAGGAGATATATTTAAAAATATATTAAAATCAAAGATTAAAAATGCATGAAAAAAAGATAAGGGACGAAAAAGAAGAAATGAAAAGAAAATTTAAAAAAAGTTTAAAAAGAAACAAACAAGGAGTAACGATTACGAGAGAAACTTATTCTCTCTTTTAAGGAGAGAATAGATTTCATAAACAGAAAAATGACAGAAATTGTAAAATCTTTCTAAATGAGAAATTTTAAGATTTTTATGAGAAAAATAATGTAGTAGTAGTAAAAAAATTGCATTCACCCCTGATTTTGATGACCATAAATGAGGTTAACTCTCTTAAAGTACACATCCTTAGTTTTCATTGTATTTACTTATATGAGCAGAACTTTAAAGGAAGAAAGAGGAAAATAAGCTAAAATTTGAGATGAATTAAAATTAATAGGCCAATAGTTTACCTAAGTTAATAAATAGGTCAAATTATTGTTTTCGTCCATAACTTGTGTAGTTATGAACCATAACTTGACAAGTTATTCACGGTTTTTGTCCATAATTTAGCTGGCTATAAACTATAACTTGACAAATTTGTCCATAACTTATCTAGTTATGAACCATAACTTGACAAATTATGACCTATTAATTTTTATAATTAAAAATTTACTTATATACTTTCTTAAGCTTTGGGGGGGGGGGTGGGGGGGGGGGGGGGGGGGGACTTGATTATTCACCGTGTGTTACCTGCCGTATGACCACATCTGAGACCTCTCCATTTGTTGCAATATAAAAAAAGAAAAAAAATTGAGCTTAGGTTGGAATATGATTATTGTTGAGAAATTTAGCGCAGTACAGAAGTGTACAGAATATGATTAGTGTTTGAATTTTAACACCAAACTTGAGAATTTTAACCAGAATATTGGAGCCCTGTCTGTGAAATTGACACCGGAAGAAATGACCGAGCTTGAATCTTTTGCTTCAGGAGATGTTGTTAGGAAAACTATTACTAATAATTGCAGAATAAAACTTTTCATCTTTGTGTACTAAAATTGGATCTCAAATAAATGCCAACAAAACTAATCAACCAAAAGAACAACTAGTTAAATTAACTAAGCGCAAATAAGAGACCAATTTTTAACGTGAAAAATCCATTAAATTGAGAGTAAAAATCACGGGACCCGTAAGCCACTTAAAACTTCCACTATATCGACAATGAGATTATAAAGTTTCTCTCTAGATACAAACTAGAGGCTCACAATAATAATATTATCAAGAAACACTATTATTAGCTCACCAACAATATAGATATCATCATCAAAGATGGATAACAACAATAACACTAAAGAAAGACTTAAGTCTCACCAAATTAGGAGTTCTCAAAAGAGTACGATAGAGAGGCTAAATGAGAAATTAAGACCGGTAGATGAGAAGAGCTCGCCGCAAGGATTCTCCATGTCAAATTTAAGCCGAAACTGACAACGTTTTAGCAGCCGATCGTCTTACACTAATATGAAAACCTTACCCCTTTTTTCTTCCTCTCTTTTTTTCTTCCCTTCTCTTTCACTGGTTCCCTGATTTCTACTCACGGCAGCCCTAATTTCTTTTGTTAACGCTGCACTTGAGTTAAGCTTGCCAGAGCAAGCTTCTTTCCCCTTTTTTTTTTTTTTTTTTTTTCATTATTGGCATTTGGGCTTATAGCCCCATTATTTGTTCCGGCCCACAAATGGGGCGGACCCCAACAGCTGCCAAGAGTGGCAGGAATGTTAATGTCTCGGCTACTTGGAAAGCCCAGCATTGACGACATGTCTCATACTGTTTTCTTCTTGTGATGTGGACTTGTCAAATACATATTTAAAGGCTACGGTGTTTGATTTACTCACTTGTAAAAGTTTTTAGACTTCACTGACGGCTTTGTTTTATATTTGCTTATGTAATATTATAGCTAATCTTAATAATAGCACGATATACGACTTGCTGAATTATTCATCTTAACGTTTTAAATTAGCATCTCAAATTACGTATGTACTTGTGCATTTAACGGCTTGCATAACTATCATTCTGAAAACTCAATATATATATATATATATATATACATAGCTGATCATGAGACATAAATACCACTAATTTATGCAACAGGTGGTGTCGGTATGGTGGCGGAACCGTGTTGAAGGACTACCTAATAAGGCTATTTAAGGATTGATTCTTATTGTCGGTTGTGATGTTGAAATTATGCCTCCCATCGGCCAACTAGATATAATTTGAGTTGATGTGACTTTAGACTCTGTGGATGCTAGTTGATGAAAGTATGGTCCAGATTCTGTTTCACCAAATCCTTAAAAAGCCAAAAAATACTATATCAATTTATCATGTGTGTGTATATATATGTGTGTGTGTGTGCGTGTATGTATATATATTGAACGATAAACTTTTCTAGTCCACTTTTCTTCTTAGGAAAAGCAAGCTATATGGAACTGCAAAAGTCTTCCCTACAACGATCCAAATCTTGTTGAAGCTTCTCTATAACCTCATCTTTTTCGCCAATGATTTGCAAAAGCATCTTATTCTCTTCCCTTAACACCTCAAACTGTCTAACAATTCCTTCAATCTGCGCTTCAATGACATCATCGCTTAGCTCAAATGCGCCCTCCACAACTCTAACCACACGCCACAGGCTCACCACAACCAACAGCCCTCCCCCTTTCCTCTCTAAAAAGCCTTCTAACACCAGCGCCGCCGCCACCACCGCAGCGTCCACAACAAGAACTGGCCGCCGCAGGAACGCCCCACCGCCAAGCCCCACGGCCAACGCTACAATCTTCGCTAAAAGGAGGCTGAGGATGGCGATTCCGAGCCAGTGATACCACGTTTGTTGTTTTTGTGTAATACTATTGTGGCGGTTCTTGATTGGTTGGCAGGAAAGCAAGGCGGAAGTGAGTTCTAGGGTTGTGAGGATTAGGTCGAGGATAATGAGTGAGATGACGATGGCTCGGATTTGTTTGGATTCTAGGAAATCGACTAGTTTGGTTCTCCATGGTGATATGGTAATAAGGTGGTTTTGGTTGTTGGGAATGTTATTAAAGAAGAGCTTCCATTTTCTCCTTCTCTGCCAGTTCTTGAGGAGATTTTGTATGGAAAATTCGACAGATTCGATAACAATACGAGAAGGCTCTTGTGATAGTTGGATAATCTGATGAGACGAAGAAGAACCGTTGAGATCAAGTGAAGGTTTGTTTTTGTTCATTTTGCTGACAAGTTTACGATATGTTAAGTTGCTGATTTGTTGCATTTAAGGTAAATTTAGATATGAAAAAGCGCTTGGAATACAAGTTAGTTTGAGTTGAACAAACTTTGGGGTCACGTTGAAAGACATATTTGCTCTTGTTTTTGTCGTCAGCAATCAGCGTTGAGGTTCCGTTAAGTATCGACAAGCAGCTTTACTTGATTGCGTGCACTTTATTTCTTCAAGTTGTGAAACCGCCAGATGACTTAACAAATTATGAACAAATCTTGTTTTTTCTTGTTTTGTTTTTCTTCTTCGGCTTTATTACTTTTGGTAAGTGTACAATTAGGGTGTATCAAATTCTAAACAATTTTAAGTTAATGTTTGATACACGATCAATATGGTATATATTGAGATGTTCATATGCGAGGACCTAGAACACTTTTTTTTTTCCTTTTGAGGAGCCTAAAATTATACAATATTGATACTTAAAAAATTTGAAAAAAAAAAAAAAAAAAAAAAAAAAAAGAACAGTTTCATTTCTTGAACAAGAAAACATAAAAGGGTATATTAAAAATGTAGGTAAATTAGAAAACAAATTTGAGAATATTGATAGTGTAGGAAGGAAGAATAAATACTCTATCGGTTCACGTTGTTTTGAATTATCATATTTTCATCAAAAAAGGCATTTTTATAATTTTTAATTTTTATGTACTTTTAACGACAGTCAAAAACACAACATGACAACAACCGTCCAAAAATTTTAGAACATCCTTGACAAATTCTTTTTGAAATTTTTTGTTTTGTTGGAGCTTTTGGTGGTAAGATATCTTATTGTTGATGTGTATTTATGAATTAATTTTTTAATATAATTACACTTATACTCCTTCGTTAGTTGACCTTGAGTTGTGAGTAAACACTCTAGCACAAAAACTTATATTTAAATTTTTATGATAAAAAATACTATAACAAACTATGGAGTTGTGATTCGAATCGGTGAAATTAACGAGACTTAAAACTCGTAGGGGTCTTTTTTGAAATTCGGCTCAAAAATTGCAAAAACTGACCCTTAAACACATCATTCTGGAGTTCTACCCTTTTGATAATAATCAGTCAAATTATATATAGTAATCAATCAAATTACGCCCGCCACCGATGATCGGAGACCCAGCTTCGATAAATGGAGACCCAGCTCCGATAAATGGAGACCCGCCGCCACAAGCGTAATTTGTCAAATTATAGATAATTATCTATCAAATTACTTACTCCAAAGGGGCAAAATTCAATAGGCCAATGTTGAGACTTAAAAATTCTTAATGGTACCATTTTAAGGGGTATTTGTTAAATGGTAATTTGTACTAATGGTCCCCAACCTTTTTGAAAAGGTGACAGTTTGGTCCCCAACCTTTTTTTTTTTATGAAACAAACCCCAACCTATTTAAAAGGGTGCAATGTCATCCTTTCTGTCAAACACTGTCCAAAAAGTAATGGTATAGTGCACGTGAAATATCACGTGACCCATGTTTTTGCTGAGAAGATGAAAATGCCCTTAATCAATCTTTTCAACTCAGCGAAAAAAGCCCAAATCCACAATAATCAACCCATACCTTTGGAGACAAGCGAGAATACTCATTCATCCTCAGCTGATCAATCTTTTCAGAGTACTGGTACTTTGGGTTCATATATAGTGAGGAACTTGGAGAAGGATTCATGCAGGTCAGGGAGGGCGTCTTTGGGGTTGAAAGTGCGGTCGGCGGCGAGGATGGTGGCGTAGAGGAACTATTGGAAGATACGGCATCGAGTGAGCAGCGAAATTTTAAAAAAAATTTAAATCAATGCCAAAGCCAACCAAGAACATGTTTATGATGCTATATAACATAAATACTAAAGATCTAAATCATACCTTTAGAGATTTATGAAACAGGACATCTGACAGATCAAAGCGTTCCAAACAACAACCGTAAGAGCCTCAACCAAATGGTCTTCTTTGCTATTCTCGTTTCCAGGATCAGAGTGCGGATGGGCACACATCGTTCAATCTCCTCTTGGTACTCTTGAACTCCTTCCAACCACAAGAGAGCCAAAGGAAAAATCATTTTTGAGAATTAAATAATTTTGCTCTTAGGAATCTTTTGCCAATAGCCCCCAAAAAGTCTCTCAAGTGATCTAATGAATAATATGACTTACTGAGTTATTTATAGTGTTTAGGAAGTCATATTTCCGTAACAATTAGGTTTCTCAAAGTTTATCTAACTTACAGAGTCAGTTTCACCACGTCAGCATGCGCTACACGTTACAACCGGTCGACTGGTGACAGAGACATTATAACTCACCGGTCAACCTGTCCTTCATGAACCGATCGACCGGTCTAGTCGACCTGTCTGAACAGGGGAAAATTGTTTTCCTAGTTTTTCAATACAGGAAACTTGCATGGAGCCTCAGTCTTAATTCAAGCGATCCAATAGATGAGTTGCCTAATCAAAACAGTCATATAATAGTCTTCTCAATATAATTTATCTAGAATTAATTTAACAATTAATTCACCCGATAAATTACTTATGAACTAAACAACCCGAAACATTAATTCAACCAATTTATCTAGAATTAATTTATCAATTAATTCATCTGATAAATCACTCATGAATTAATTAACCAATCTCATATTAACTTTGAACCTCTTTTACGAAAATAACACAAGTTACCAATATGTAGGAAATACACCGTATCATTACAGGAAATTATGTGAGCTAACAAAGGACCCGATGGACATATATAAATCAAGGTCTTATAATCATAACGCTACTTGTAAACCAACAAGTATATCTGATGATTATAAAACTCTAGCGCTACTCCACTAGAAGCCTAGAGCTGCACTCTCAATTTATATAGCACATTTACACAACTCTAAATAGCTCTCGTTAATCACTCAATGTATTAGTGTATCATCCCCATAGGATATCCATAATCGATTTGAGGTTATGTTCCGTTTTACCTTCCCGATTACATTTATCTTATGTTCCATTACCACTCCATCAGAAAATCACTATTCGTACCATTACAAATAGTAAACCATTAGATAACACAGAGTAGGTTAATGGCCGAGCGCTCGTATTTTCCAATCCACAGATAATGCATAAGAGGATATCATTGACTCTTTATAGGAATTATGGATTTCACTATCTATGAATAATGAATCTACGCATACACGAGTCATACCCCCAATGTACCGGTAAGCGTACCTATACATAATGTCAGGATGTCTCTCTTTGGTACATCAAAGGATACAAGTCAAGTATACAGGTTCATTATCCATCTCAAGATTAAGATGATCACATATAATTCGTCAAAAGTGAATTGTTTTATACAAACAGAATTATTAATTAAAACAATTCAACTTTGGTTTGACCCAATATAGATTTCATCACTATAAACTATATCAATATCTCTATCCATAGAGTCTCACCTCCAACGACCAAGACAAGCCGTCTATGTTAGGAAGTAGACAACATAACAATCTTAACATGAATAAAGCGCCTAACTTTATTCCCTCGATTGTAGATCATATGACTTAGACTATCATCTTTAGATTCTTGTCTTCCGCATATTCTTCTTGTTACATGTATGACTTAAAAATTTAGAATGACAGTCTAAGACTTTCAGTTTACTTATCATATATTCAACTAATATGAATATAAAGAGGACAATACATGAATATATGAAATAAATCAATCTTTATTAATAGTTAAAATATCTCAAAGAACATTGTTACATTTATTCTTAAGAACATAAACGCTAACAGGAACTCTTTTTGGGCCTTGAGGCGAGTGATCGTGACCTTCTAAGGGCCTCCTCCTGGTTGGCCATGGAGGTCTCAGAAGACTCGACGTCTTGCGATTTGGAGAGAGACCCATCTTCGGATGCTTCCTCTAGAGTTTCCCTCAGCTTGTTCTCTTGGAGTTTTCAGAGAATTGACTGGTTTTTCATCGTCGTCTCTGTGGCAGAATCCGAGCTGTCTTTGCCTCTTCTGCTGCTACTCTTTTTGTCCATCAGAAGAGCAGCGCAGTGAGATGTGGGCTTCCATAGTGAAAGATGCATCAAAGCTAGAGTTTGAAAACAACTTAAATCTTATACCAAAAAATGATAATAAATTGGCTCAGAAGAAAAAGTTTTTGTTTTTCTTTAGTTCATGAAAGAAAAACCCAGAAAGAGACTGAGATAAAACACAAAAGAAGAAACTTGATACATGCAGATCAGAGAATACCTAGTAGAAGATTTCAATAATGAAAATTTTTTAGAACCTTATCTGGGTTTTGTCTTGCAGTTGCAGAACTACTACTAAACGAAGCAAAGCTTTAAAAGCTTTAATGCCGGATTTCAGCTCTCAGCCCCGATTCCAGCAACACGTGTTTTTACACATATACCTCACTGTAATTAAGGGTACATGGGCTACGTGATAATTAGGGTTCATTTTATAAATTAAAAAAATTAAAAACCAAACTATTACAAATTAGGAACCATTCATGCAAATTAATTACTCATCGTGTTTAGAATTGTTTTCATTTTTATTTTTTATGTTTTTTGATAAAAAAAAAATAAAAATGACATTTGACACAATAATAATAAAAAATAAAAATAAAAACGATTTTTTAGTTTAGTGTAAAATAAGAAAAAAATAAAAAATAATTTTTAGTTATTTTTTATTTTTTATTTTCGTTTTTTCCTCTCTCGAACATAAAAAAAAAAAGATATTAATAAATTTTTTTATATTAAAAATAATCTCTTAATAAAACTACTTAATATATTTTTAAAAATAATTTTTATTTAAAATTAAATATATTTTTATTTTTATTTTCATATAAAAAATAAAATTATTTTAAAACGAATTTCAAACGTAAAATTACCCAAAAACGGCTTTATAAATCCTCCCAAATCACGCGTAAAAGAAAGGCATATCAGCTTTAGTGCTGCTGACAAAGTCAAGGACACGTGGCGCGAATGAATAGCGGAAGGAAGTAGAAGACTTGTGGCGTCGTACTTTTGGAGAAGAACCGGGTGCACGCTAATCTCCATGGGGCGCGGCGCATAAAAACAGACACCCTGCTGAGGATGCCACCTTGGCTTGCTGGAGCATTTCGACGCTCCAGAGATGGGAGAAGACGCGCACTTGCGATCTGGTTAATCCAAGGAGCTGATCTGACGGCTAGTATTGAGAGTAGCCACTTGTAGCAGCTCTACGTGTGGGGAAAGCAATTCCGGATCAACTTTCATTTATTTCTTATTTTCGTCTTTTTAATTCCAAATAAACTCCAAATTG